GGAGCAGAGGGAGCTGGGCGGGGGGCAGTATGACATAATGTTTGCACAGAGACTCCATGGTAACCTCGCTGAAACTCCAGCTGAGGCTCCAGGCCTGTTCCTGCTAAACCAGTAAAAGAAAGATGAAGAGGGGAAGCTGGGCAAAGAACCGGGTCGTCAGTTCTTTTAATACTCGAACAGTGGGAGGATCCTTGGGGGAAAACACTCACAGAGGGCATCTTATTCACTGGTCGTCGTTACACCATATCAGTGACTTTAGAAAACCCCATGCAGCTGAAATAAGCATGACTGCCCAATACTTTCGTAGCTCAAGGGCGGCTTTCTCTAGCTGGCTAGTCTCTGCTCAGCACCGCTGGAAATGGCATTCAAGAAGCCAGGCGAAGGGGACGCACTTTACAATGACCCCTGAAGGCGGCCGTGCTGTGGCGAGCCACCCCATGGAGTGAGCTCCGTAAAGGAGGTTCTGCTGGTGGGATCACCCAGCTGGTGCCCTACAGAACTCAAGCCCATTTGCTGACACCAGAAATTTCCCAAAGGACCATCATGTCCATGAGGGATCATAGGCCGAGGGAAGGGTTTTTTTTAAATAACCAGCAATCTGAGGTCATAACCAGTACCTTGAATTGCCACTTGGGAGTAAATTAACTCCCAATGGTCGGCCCTGCCTAGGAGGTACGGAACACCATTCAACACCACCTGAAGCTTCCTTATACACCTCTACCCTGATATAACGTGACCGGATATAACACAAATTCAGATATGACGCGGTAAAGCAGCGCTCTGGTGGGAGGGGGGAAGAGGGGAGGCTGCGTGCTCCAGCGGATCAAAGCAAGTTTGATATAGCGCAGTTTCACCTATAACACAGTAAGATTTTTTGGCTCCTGGGGACATCGTTATATCGGGGTAGAGGTGTAGTTTATATCCTGTTACTTTGACAGTTGTGAGTAATGCAAATTCTGTAACTAATTAGTCCATCAATCAGTGATCTAATCAGTGCCTCCGGGTCTCATTCTGTTGGAATCTATGAAAGAGATTGGTTTGGAGAGCTCAACAGAAGAAATTTCCCCCATATATACAGAATAACTTTTCAGTGTCGTAAGGTCACTTAAGCTTCCTTGGGATGGTCAGTTCAAACCTGAACTGAAGAGCCTGTTCCTTGGGAGTGAGTTGATATTTCACTTTCCAGTTTTCTTTCAAAAAAGGTCTTAAAACACAGAGGTCATATGTAGATGAGGGAGTGAAGAAGTGCCAAATTGATCTAACATCTCCAGACAATACACATTGTAGTGGAACTCCCATCCAGAGGGCAGCAAGGAAATGTGATCTACAATCAGTAATCAGTCATTAAGAGTCTCAAAGTAGACCCACCAACCTTACCAAACAGAGCAAGAGATGAAAGAGAGCAAACAATTTTAATCACATGTTCTACTGGGGATAATTAATCATGATATTAAAACATAAAGGATGGGATTGTTCAGATCAGCGCATACCTACTTATGAATGCAAAAATATGCATGCCGTTGTACACGTAATTTTCACATCACTTTTTGCAGAATCATTGTACATGATGCATACAAATGGTCAGCGATGTCACTAACTGGTATTTACTGTACAAGTGTGACGAATGTACGTACACATGCTGTGCTGATAATCTGGCCCAAAATGATGAATCATCACGCACAACGGATTTTTTTATATAGGAATTTCCCATCTAATGTCACTGTGCCCCAATATCTGGACAAGCTGAGTTTGTCTCTGTGGGTTGACTCTTGGCAACCCAAGAGAGCTATTGTCATACAGCAGTGACCAGAAACTTCTCTCTCTTTTGGGATGCAATGCACACTCTACCTCCCATAGAAACTAGGGGGGAGGGATAGCTTAGTGGTTTGAGCATTGGCCTGCTAAACCCAGGGTTATGAGATCAATACTTAAGGGGGCCACTTAGGGATCTGGGGCAAAATCAGTACTTGGTCCTGCTAGTGAAAGCAGGGGGCTGGACTCAATGACCTTTCAGGGTCCCTTCTAGCTCTATGAGATAGGTACATCTCCATATAGTATTTTTTATTTATTTAACTGGCAATTAAATCTTGAAATCAACATAAATAACTTACTACATTGGCTTGTCCTCCAAGCCAGCAAAGGGGACTAGCCATCTCTTCTTGAGGTCATTTCTCCAGCCCTTCCTGTGACTCCTAGAGGAAGTCTTGTATCAGCACTTAGTGTATGTTATAATGAAATGTACTCTTACCCCAAACTTGCCTCTGTCTCAGTGATAGTGATTTTCATTGTAATGGCATGTTTTACAGGAAGCCTGCGTAATGGCGCCAGCCTGATAGCCGAAGGGATGCGGAAATCTGGACACTGTTACCAGTGGGACAGGAGTTGTGGAACTATTTTATCTCCACAGAGAAAAGATCTTTTCTAAAGCGGGGTTTGGCATGAGGAGGTAGCTGGGTGGAATGAGAAATCTTACTCCTACTAATCGCTCCAATTGCATTTCTCATCTGTAGGGCACTTTAGCCGTAATGCCCTGGGATGGACGGAAGTACCACTATGGCTCCTTTTATAGATGGACAAACAAAAGCAGGTGAAGCGACTCATCCCAGGGCAGTGTCAGAATGGGGTTAGCGCTCAAGAGCTCTTGTCACCCAGGCCCGTGCTCGCATTACTAAAGTGTAACTCTTTCCAGGCCTAGATTCATCCTCGAAGCCAATCAGCTCAGCTCATTCCTGGTGCCTTCCAGACCGCGCTGCGCTCAATACACCGAACCTTTCATGTGGAGAGCCAGGGCCGGCTCCAGGCACCAGGCAACCAAGCACATGCTTGGGGCGGCACCTGGTAAGGGGCGGCCAATCTTGGGGTGGCGGGGGGCAGCGTGGCGTGGCATTCCACGGGGGGGCACTCTGGCGGCGCGGCGCTCGGCGTGGGGCGCGGCGC